GTGACGGGGTGGGCCCGCAACCTCCCCATCGACCCTGTCTTGAGTGTGACAGGAGGGGGTGCCCCAACACCCCAATAGGCCCTACCCTGAGCGTGACTGAGGGTGGCATCGCAACATCCCGATCCACCCTGCTCTGTGTGTGACAGGGGGCGGTGCCCCAACTCCCCAATCAGCCCTGCTCTGAGCCCGACCAGAGGGGCTGCATAGGGATTGGGCCTGCCCTCTGCCACCCGGGAGCAGGTCGTTATCTCCCGAGGGGTCCCAGACTGAGAGAGGGCACAGGCCGGGCTGAGGGACCCCCTGCCCCCCAAGTGCACAAATTTTTGTGCACCGGGCCTCTAGTCCTATACAATAAAAGACTAATATGCAAATAGATCGAATGGCAGGACAATCGAACCAGTCATTATGATGTGTGCTGACCACCAGGGGGCATGTGCGGAACATGGCAGGCGTTGGTCACAGTGGGATGGTGGAGTAGGTGAGCAGGGGTGCCAGTCACTGTCATTGGGGTGAGCCTCTGGTGGTTACTGAAAATTCTTTGCTCCCGCGTGCAGCGGTCCTGTTCAGCGCTCGCACCTGCTGCCGGCGCCACTGCCGGTCCTGATCGCCCCTGAGGGCTTCTCCACCTCCCCCTGCCCCTGAGGAGTGATTGGGGCAGCAGCCACTGCTCACACCCACTAATGGTGCTGGCCATGCTCGCACCCGCTGCTGGCACCAGTCCCAATCGCTCCGCACTGTCAGCGGGTGCAAGTGGGGCTGGCGCTGTCAGTGTGTGGGAGCAACGGCAGCGGGGCGGGGCTGCTGGCAGACAGGGGACTGGGGGCTGTGGTGGGAGGGGCTGAGCAGGGGTGCAGAGGATGGGCCAAGACCTGCCCTTGTGCCTACCACAGCCTCGCAGCCCACAGTTCCTTTCAAGGTGCACAAATTCGTGCACTGGGCCCCTAGTTAATATATAATTGATCATTTAATATAAAAGTTCATTATTTTTAATAATGTTCCAGTAAAATAAGTTACAAATCCGTGAATAACAGCTCATTAAATTAATACTTCGTTTATACAGAAATGTAAAATCCTGCCATATTCAAAGCTAGAGTTTGGCTAAGAGTTGCGAAGTTTTTCATCTACATCTGTAAAACACATACACTCACACACAAGCACACACACACGTGAACATGCGACCAAAGCACATAGCATGACAGGGAAGGAAACTGAATTTTCATATCTTTTCTTAACAGGTAAAAAGAGAAGTAGTCTAGAATAGAGCAAAAGAATCTCAATCTTAATGACCATATACTCTTAGCAGGGTTTGTAAAAATAAGTATATTCCCCCCAAATACAAATATTTATAAATTACTTGTATGACACATATTACATATAACAAAAAACCCACAAAAAATATAACTTGAAAAATGAAGAACTAGAGATAAAGCATGTAATATTTTTAAGTAGTTGTTATTAATGGCAAAATAATATTTACTGAGGATGGATAGGTGTGTGGATGTGAATGACGGTAATGCGACCCAATGTAATTTAATGTGATTACCAATTAGACTGCTATCCCATTTAATTTCACAATGTGGCTAAAAAGCAAATGCTGGGCCTACAAGAGCTGATGGTCTGATGACTTTTATTTTTATTTTCTTTAAATGTGGCTCTCTTTTATTTTTTTAAATATATATTTTTCTATTGATTTCAGAGAGGATGAGGGAGGAAGAGAGAGATAGAAGCATCAATGATGAGAAAGAACCATTGACTGGCTGCCTCCTGCCCTTCCACTGGGTATTGAGCCTGCAACCCGAGCATGTGCCCTTGACTGGAATCAAACCTGGGACCCTTCAGTCTGCAGGCTGACGCTCTATCCACTGAACCAAACCAGCCAGGGCTGATGACTTTTATTAAGTGCTGGCAGTTTGGGTCCCCCTCACCCTGCAACAAAAACAGTTCCTAGACAAGAATTTGTCACTCATTAGGGAAACAATCCCAGGAGGCCCCAGGAGAGAGTGGGGAAGTGAGAGGGAAGGATGGAAGGCAATAAGAGTGTTAAATGAATGGATATTTGCATTAAGCAACTGGGAATTAGTCCCACTGGGGCCACTCTGAGAAATAACAGTGCCCTCTCACTGAGTGGTATGTATTTACAGACCAAATCCTGACCCCCACTGCTAAGGACTGCCCAGCCTGGCCACCTGCAGGCCAGCACGCTCTGGATCTAGACGACACCTGCGTAAGTCCGAGGACTGTGTAATTGCACATGAGCTAGAGGAGGTCCAGGGCACATGGTGGGGCACAGACAACAGATGCCACATCTGCTGTGCCCGTGTCAGGGAAAATGTTAGCTTCAGTCTTGATTTCTTTGCTTTGTTAGATTAGAAAAGTTAGAGTTGACAGTTTGAACTAAATACTGTTATTTCTTGCCCCAGCCAGTTTTGCTCAGTGATTAAAGTGTTTACCTAGGACTGAAGTCTCTCAGGTTTGATTCCTGGTCAAGGGCACATACCTTGGTTGCAGGCTCGATCCCAGGCTCTGGTCAGGGTGCGTGTGGGAGACAACCAATCGATGTCTCTCTCTCACATCAATGTTTCTATCTCTCTGTCTCTCCCCCGCCCTTCCACTCTCTCTGAAAATTAATGGAAAAAATATTCTCGGGTGAGGATTAACAATAAATAAATAAATAAATAAATACTGTCATTTCTTTCTACTTTTCCCACAGGATACTTCAGATATGTACGTCGTGGCTTAAGACCATCTGACATATAGATTGTACGAGTGCTGGGATCGATCTATCAAATATTGATGTAATTTCATCTTTTCTTGGATTAAAATGTACAAATAGAAGTTCTAAAATTTTCCTAGTCTAGCCAAGCCAGTGTTGCTCAGGGGTTGAACGTTGACCTATGACCCAGGAAGTCATGGTTCGATTCCCGGTCAGGGTACATGCCTCAGATGTAGGATCCATCCCCAGTGGGGGACATGCAGGAGGCAGCCAATCCATGATTCTCTCTCATCACTTATGTTTCTATCTCTCTCTCCCTCTCCCTTCCTCTCTGAAACCAATAAAAAATATATTAAAAATAAATAAGTAAGATTTCCCTGTCCGGTCTACTGCAATACAGTACCTTCCATGCCCCTTAAGGTGTGTGCTCCCCTTCTGGCCATCACTGGACCAAAGCATATAGAGCCCTGTCCAGCGCTCAGCTGGAATGATTCATTTCACTCCAGGGTATATCTGGACTATTCTAAATGAGAAAATACTAGTAACACACAGTTCTAATATATAGTTTTAACATCTATCACTTAAGAAGGAGCTGAAAATTTCAAAAACACTCTTCACAGAATTCCCTGAGTGGCTATCTTATTTCCCTGTGTCTAAAATATTATACAAAAACCCAACTCCATCTTGGAATTCAGTTTAACTAACTCGGATTAAAATGCTCTGACTTCCCATAGTTGGTGGTGTGAAAGGCAGATGGGTAGACTTGTTTCCATTGCTTTTACAAAAATAAAAGCTCTACAGAAACATTTTTCAAAATCACAGCTTCCTAAAGGAGTTACATATGAGAAATTAAAAATGCATTTAAACTTTCCTTAACAAATAACTACTTAACTGAATTCCAAAAACGTGACACAAAGTTATAAAAATCCATTTTATTTAGACTGAAATGAGTATATTATTTATTTAGTTTTAAAACAAACTTAGCCTTTGCCCATGCTCAGTGGTTAGAGCGTCAGCCTGTGCACCAGAATGGTGAGGATGGGCAGTGCAGGGGTGGGGGGAGGGGGGAGGGTAGCAGGTTTGATTTCCAGTCAAGGGCATGTACCTGGGTTGCAGGTCTGATCCCCAACCCTGGTCTGGGTGTGCGTGGGAGGCAACAAATCGATGTGTCTCTGTCACACAGATGTTTCTCTTTCTCTCTCGCCCTCTCCTCTCTCCCCATTCCCTTCCATTCTTTCTAGAATCAATGGAAAAAAATCCTCAATCCTTGGGTAAAAATTTAAAAAATAATAAAATAAATTTAATCTATAGTTTAACTGTTAATATCACTTTGAGTAAACTTGAACAAATTCTGAGGTTTACTGTACTAGTTTAAGAGATCCATACTGTGTAGAAATACTGTTATGTTAATTCCTTTAGAGTTTAAAACTTCAGAATTGAATCACTTTAGCCTATTTAAGACTTTTTCCTCTTTATTTTTTTCTCAAGACTTTTAAAACCTTGCATAATATCCTGCAAGAGTATTTTGATATATATCAACAAAATTCTACCCCACTTTCCCCAATAATAAAAACATGTTTTTTTAAAGTGTTGCTTTTTAAATTACGTGAAACTAAAGAAAATTGGTTACTGGCTTTAGCATCGTCTTTGGAGAAAAACACCCTCTGCTTGACCAGCTGCTGCCATGCCTTACAGAGGTAGGGTCTGTAGTCCACACTCGTATCGCTCGGGCGCTTAACGGCAGAGGAAGAACCTTCCGTGGAGTTTGAGGTTTTCTGCATTATACTCTGTGTTGTTGCAAAAAGAACCAAGCAATACTCATTTACAAGTTTCTCTAAGAGCTGAGAACACTTCTTCAGAGTAGACTCCTGTAAGTTAACACTTTCTCCTCCATTGGCTCGGTCTATCCAGTAGAAAGCGGACAAGCTATCCAAAATCAAAAGGCAGAGAGAGGGGTGACTACAAAACATGGCTTCTAGGGAGTAGAGTGTGAGCAGCAACTGGCTGCTACTGCAGCAGTACACCAGGAAAAACCTGCCAAGGCAGTATTTTATTATTTCTTCAGAACTCTGGGGTAGTCTATGCTCAAGAATTGTAACAAGCCGAAGCAGGTCAAAGTGGTAATCTGTATCAATAAATAAGACTTCTATTTCCAGTCCACCTGCTGATTGTGGAAGAATGCACCGTGCTGTTAAATGATAAAGCATTTCTGTCTTTCCTGTTCCTTCTGGACCATGAAATTCAAGAATATCACCTGTGTAAAATGTAAAAATGTCAGTCAAAATGCAGCAGCACAGTAAGAGTAGGCTACAAGTGAAAAGTCTGCAAAAAGGTTTAAAAAGACATTTGCTGGAACATAAAAGAAAATCTAAGTCCATTTGCCAAACGGATCTGTAAAAGCACATACTAATAAATAGGGAAATCGTCATTTGAAAAGCAGAATGACAGCAGTCTGTGGGGATCTCCTGAGAACGGGTCTGATACACTCACAGTGAAATGGTGATGTGGAGAGTTAGGAATAAAGTGCCACAGATCCGGGGCCTTTCAAACACTACTGATTACTAAGGTGCACGCTATTTCTGGTAATTGATCTCCCAATATCCATTCTCTCCTTTTCCCTTACATATGAAACCCCAATTGGGGAAGGTAATGTGCCCAACTTAAAAAACGATTTTTCTTAGTCTCCCTTGCAAAGAGGGGTCACCAGGTATCTCAACTGTAGACAGTGAGACGTGCGCAGAGTCTGCTGGGATTTCTACGTTTCGCTTTCCTGACCCAGCTGCCACTTCTGCTTTTCCACTCCCTTCTTTGGAGGTGAAGAGCCATCTTGAAACAGTGAGGAGGGAAGGTGGACCCTCAGGGGCAGACCCTAAGGAGGTGGAGTAGGAAGACAGGAGGCGCCCAGGACTAGTTATGCATAGCCTGCCTCGACGCCACTTCTGATCGAGGAAAACAAGCCTCTATCTGGTAAGCCACTAGGCTGGACTTCTGCTACATGCAGAGGAAATAATCCCCAACTAGGGTTTCTGTGTTATTGCATTATGGGCAGAGCAATTCTTGACAGTGCAGTCTTACATGGATAGGGTGGTAAGAGCCGCAGCTCTCAGGTCTTCCCTGCCGGTAGCATCCGTCCACTGTGTTTTACATGGCCACACTGCCGCAGTCATTCTCTGCTGTATGAGTCTCCCAGGAAACTGCTCAGGGAGAATGACACCTGCGTTGTGAATTACCCCTTAGCATTATTAATCAGTCACCTACTCTGAACTTTGAAGCCTGCAATCTCTCTCTATACAGTTCCAGTATCTCTTCCACTGAGAAAGTACAAACTAAAACACCTGGAACACGGTCCTGCCTCCACAGCTTCTCAAAATCCCCCCGACAGTGGCCTTCCAATTCTTGTTAAACTAAAATTATTGCGATTTGATTTATGGCTGAACCACAGAATTGAAAAGTTTTAAAATGCAAATTCTTAGGCCTTTGCAGATTACAGAGCCTGAAAATCCAGTTACTTTATTTCCTGTCATTATTAATAAACCATTAAATGTTGAAACAAATAATGTGTAAGAAATCTAGCAAGTTGTTACCAACCTATAAAGTAGTATAAAACTTCAGCCAATTTCTTCTACAATCTTACATATAATTTACAATTCAAAATGAGGTGAAACTATGTTTACATTAACAATTGTTCATGGACACTTTTATTAAAAGCTGACATAATGACTCTATCTATACTCGACCCAGATGTTCAGTTTACTCTCTGCTACCATATTACTGGGGAACTAAGCTGCCCCCAAATGAAAGTCTTTTACTAATAATATAGGAGAATGAACTACATACACAAGATGAAGAAACACTGACACAGAAGCACTATTAATGGTAGTGCAGGAAAGTCAAAAACACTTTAGCAAGATGAGTCTGAAATGGTTTGCAGGACACAGTGGACTGTGCAGAAACTCTCTGGGGAACAGTAGCACCCTGCACCAAATCCTCCTCCCACGCCCAGAAGAGGAGCAGAGAGGCTGATGGGCACTTTACAAACGAAAAGGGACTTCTTCATGGTAGCACCTTGGATCCTAGTAACAACACCGAGGGGGGAATAGCAAATCCCGTCATCTTCCATGATCGCATCTATCGCACTATATAATTTACCTGATTATATTTCTTGTTGGCTACTTTAAGGTTGGGACTTGACTATTCTATACCCAACACAAACACAGTATCTTTTTCATCAGATGGTTTTCTTCTTAAGAGCTTCTCGAGAGACATCTAAACAATGAAAATATAAGTCCTGGTTGGGGGAGGATTACAGGCCCCACAGTCAATGTTGGAACATGGATTTTGAAAGGAAACAGGCCTGCCAATAAGTCACAGGTGGGACTTGAGGGGTGGCTTTGTTTAGCAGAGCCCAGCAGGTGTGAATGCCCGCGACCAAGGCTTGGAACAAGGGGCTAACAGCAGACGAAGCAGGAACAGGAACAATGTGCCCAGTGCTAGTCTAGCCCCGCCTGCTGCCCTTGCCCAACAAGAGCCGACACTCAGCTTCTGTCAGGTCTTCAGCCCCTTCTCTGATTCCTAAGGTGATAGTAGTGACTTAAAAGCTCTGAGACAGGCTCAGAAGTACCCCACAAATCAATACTTAGGCACATAGGGATTTTTCATTTACATAATTCACGTAAATACCCTGACGTGAATTTACCTTCCAAGTGGTGTGTTGAGATGGATCTTCAAGACTCACAAAATAAAAATGTCCTACAGCTGCTAGGACTTGAGATTCAAGACAGTACTAAGATGCTGTACACGGAGGTCTGGGAGAAAGCTACATAGAAATAGAGAACAGCTATAGTGAGAGAAGACAGATAAAATAGAAATTTCATAGAAAAAACAGTAGGAAAACAGCACAGAGCACAGAAGCTGTCGGGAAAGTGAAGTTGTACTAAGTAATATTAATGAAGCAGGAAAGACCTAAAAGTGGGAAAATGGAAGGGGAAGGTAGGGACAGATCACAGAGTGGTCCTGGACAGTGGCCTTAAAGCAGTAAAGGTGTAGTTTGCAAAACCACTTTTAATATAAATATTAGTTTATGAACCAAACTTCAAGAATGGAGACACTCAGAAGATGGACTGTCAGGCACTGCAGGGAACATTCATGCTGTTCAAGGAACAGCAAGGAGAAACCAGGGAACCATGAGGAATTACAGAAAGCATACAATGGTTTACACTCATTGGCAAAGTAAAAGAATTCAGTAGTTTCGTGAGGCTGGCGAGTGAAATGAGGATCATTTAAGGTAAGGGAAATGTAACATATTCTGAAGAAAAAGGGAAGGGACTTCACAGGGAGATAAACATACACGATACTGGTCAGAGGGTAACTGTGAGATATGTCTGGATATTTGTGGAATTCTTGGACTAAGAACAAAAAAATGAAAAATTTGCCAAGTATTTTCTTGGAGAAATGAGTGGTGCTTATAACAAATTTCAGCACAACTCGAAAGAGTAAGTCTTCGAGAGAGCTTTCCTACATGGTTTGACAAGGAAAACAACTGATGGAGTTGGTGGATTCCTTAGCTCTGTGGTTTGGCATAAATGAAACTGAAGCAAAGTTTAAGGTTAAGTCCTCGGTTAAGAGGTTATTAGGTATATAAAAATACTCTTCTCCCTTTATAGATTAACTAGAGTTAATTTCCAGTGCATGAAATTTGTGCATGGGTAGGGGGATAGGGTCCCTAGTGGCTGCAGCCGCCACCAGCCCCGCCCCCTGGTCGAACTCCCAGTGGAGGGGACAATTTGCATAGTAGGCTTTTATTATATAGGATAAGCAAAGCAGATAAAAAGGTCATTTATAAAAACTGGAAAAGTAAAATCTGTAAACTTGTAAATTACACATGAATATTATCATTAATGTCCTTGCATTAGGTTCCCTACAAATGTTCAATGATGAACTAAAATCAGTTTCACTGATGTTATAAACATTTACTATCTAATCATAAGATCAAAAATCATATCCAAACTTTACATTCTATAGAGGGAACACGAGCCTTTCAAGTGTATTTGAAGTCACTAGCTCATATGTTTCTGTGAGCTGCTACCAAAAAAATGCACCCTTGTCCAATGAAAGTACTGGTATGACAACTGGTAGTAAAAAAACAAACAAACAAAAAAACCTGTACAATTTGGCACTTGGCAAACTAAATCAGAAAATCTGGATGGTTTGGCCTTGCTAGCTACTCTCACAAATAGAATGCTGTAAGGGGTTTGGGTAACAGATTGTCAGAGTGAGTTTATGAATCTAAACATCCTTCAAAATGAGGGGGAAAAAAGCCTAAAAATACATCTTGGGACCAACCTACTAATTGTATAATGTTGAATTTGCAGATTACAATCATCATAGTAATAAAGAGGTCATTATTATCCGAAAAAGCATTAAAAATATGGTTAGTCCTAGCCTGTTTGGCTCAGTGGATAGAGCATCGGCCTGTGGACCAAAGAGTCTCAGGTTCAATTCTGGTCAACATACCTTAGTTGCAGGCTCCTCCCCAGCCCTGGCCCTGGTCAGGGCTTGTGCAGGAGGCAACCAATTGATATGTTTCTCTCACATCAATATTTCTCTCTCTCTCTAAAAATCAATGGAAAAAAATCCTTCGGTGAGGATTAAAAAATAAAAAACATATGTATATGTTTACAACAGCATTAGAGACTCCTATAACCCCTAAATCTCTTATTGCTTCTACTTGAGCTTCCCTATGACAATTTCTAATAAAGTATTGTTGATACGTACTCTTTATAATCCTGGTCTGTGTCTGCCATTGCTCCACTGAGTATTCATCTAACTAGTGTTACAGCTATATATGTATGATAGTTTTGAGTAAACTTCGTAGGTGACGGAACAAGATGGTATTCCTAAAGTATCTATAAATGTAATATTCAAATGTATAAGCTGAGTTGCAATCCCATGTTTCAACATCAATTTCATAAGGTTCAACTTATCCTTTCCAGCAGAGAGAATAGAAAGGCACCTCAATCTTTTGTCTAACAGGTTGGATCAAAATTTTTATCTATCTGATTTAAGAAGCAATCCCAATTGTATTAATAATTTTAAATGTTTATGGACATACAATATATACATATGTAATTTGTGTTTTGTTTTTGTTAATCCTCACTTGAGGATAATTTTCCATTGATTTTTAGAGAGAGTGGAAGGGAAAGGAAGGGAAGGGACAGAAAGAGAGAGAAACATCGATGTGAGAGAGACATATGG